GTCGTCCAGGTCATCTGTCTCGGCATCCTGTATGGGTTGAAGGCAATTAAGGAGACGTCGGTGGTGTTCCCGTTCTTTATGGCATCCCTTGCCATCATCCGCAAGGCCATGAGGTTCATGTTCACGGACGATGAACTGAAGCAGCTGGATGGCCTTCCAGGTGAGGACGAGGAGGAGGATGCCACCATGTCGAAGCCGGACATCGTGAATCTGGACGCGAAAGATGCCGCTTAGGAGAGCAGATTCAATTAGCGTAGATAGGGCTACTCAGCCGGACCTGTTGCAAAATTCAATAAGTTTTGGTTCTTCGGGACTCGTCAGCGAAGCCCTTCTTTGAAGGTTTTTCCTGGCAAACCTGATCCAGCACGGTGGGCACGACCCTGTGGGTGGGGACTTAGGGGTGATCAGGGGTGCCTTCCGGGTCTTCAGCCTGCGTGTTGGATTTTTTTATGTCAAAACGGTGTGGCCCATCTCCGGCCAAGCAACGCTCATCATGTGCTGAGAGAGGCCGAGCGCCGAAGGCGAGCGAACCTCCTGCGCAAGTTCTTTGTACAAGCACTGCGTTGCCAAACCACTTCACTCCAAATTCGCAGAGGCAGAGAAACTAGCTCTCCCCTTAGCAAGTTCTTCCTATACTCCCCCACACTACTGTCCGATAAAATGTACCAATGCAGGAACAACCGACTACCTCATCCATCATCCCGAAGCTGGTCTTATCATTCTGAAACTTCAAAGGTTCCCAAACAGACATTGATTGGGTTTGGGGTAAACGATGATAGTGACCGGAACTTACTGACGACGACGACGACGACCTCCGTCATAGCATCCAACGGTCGGCTTTTCGAGAAGCGTGTGCTGTTGCCCTGCAGATAGCAGTGGATGAGGCCTTTCCCCAGTACTGTTGTGCCTTATGCGCGAAAGGTACCCTTATGTTCAAGATGCCACTGGGGAACGTGATTTCGCTCCTGACTCATAACAATCCTATTGCTAAGTCCCCTGTCGTTTTTGTAGCAGCTGCACTCGGAACAAATCAACATATTCCGTGACAGTCGTGCCCTGCTGAATGCCTTTGTTGGAATTGATTCACGACACCTTTGAAAACACCTTAAAGCCCAAACTGCAAAATCCAGACAAAAACCTTGAAGACCTCAAAACCCCTAATCCTTAAACCCTATCACTATAACCTCCAAAACCTCAGAAGCCCTAAACCCTAAACCCTAAACCGACATTTAACGCACCGAAAATCCCCCCAGCACCTCCAGCTGCCAGGGTTCGATGAAGCTCTTCAGCAGGCCGTTTGAGGGGTTCAGGGGTTTAGGGTTTTAGCCCCATAAACCCTAAATCGGTTTAGGGTGTGGCCCCGGGCTTTGTGTTGTTGATTTTCCGGCTTTTGGGGTTTTGGGGTTGAGGGCTGTAGGGTTTAGGAGCTGGATGTCTTTCCTGGAAGGCGTGATGTAGAATCGAAGTAGAATTGAGGATTAGCGAGTCGCGATGTCACAGTTCATAACCGGCGGATTTGGCATTGACGTCAGAAATAATGCATAAATTATACTAGTGACTAGTGGCGACTGGTCTTGCCTTGTTTGATCTGATCGTGCTTCTGTTCGCGATTCAGGCGCTGTTTCGCGTGCTGCGGGCTGTGTCCCACCGTCCGTGCGCCCAGATTGACTGGGACTTTCAGAAAATTGATGTAGGGGCCTTAATTAGAATGTGGTTCTGGGGCCCATTGTACTACAATTCTAACAAGGAACCCCCAAAATAGTATAGGTAGTTTTTTCGTCTACATTAGGATCCAAGAGCTCTGAGCAAGGACTTGTGCTTGGTCGTGCTCGCAGCTTCGTGCCAACTGTATCGGTTCAGACTGAAAGTCACGGTTTGCTTAGAGGTTCTGTGCCATGAGACTTTCTCACGGATTCGTGACGGCTATATGATAATAATATCCCTTATAACAAGAAAAGAAGAATAATTTATAAGAAGTAGAAGCAGAATAAAAATATATTTCATTAGGGCAGCGGTCTTCCGTGACCTTGTTTGCAAGCTCGGTTAGAGCCCGTACTCGTTTTTGTCTTCTTCGTGGTGCCTGTAATAGCAGTGGTGGCAATGGTGGTAGCGGTAGGTCTAGGACGACAAGGATCAGAGAAGGAAGCTTCGAAACAACAGCAATGTTCAGTATTCAAGATGAAATAATAACGGCCTTATTATGAAGAGTCATAATTAGTAACATTGGTCCTGACAACAACAGCAGCAATGCATTAGTATCATCTCCCACCGTTCGGCTGGTTTTAGGATGCCGCAGATTTTGCAGGTGTAGGAGAAGGTATACAGGTGCACGCTATACAAATCCGGTAAGCCGACACCCTGAACCCATGGCCAGGTGTTGAAGACATCGGTTACTGCCAGGGGATGAACTTCATCGCAGGCTCGCTTCAATTGAAGCCGCAGCTGCGTGATGTACACCCTGTGGCAGGGGTCATGCTTTGCGTATTCCGGTCCGGCGGAAACAGCGACACAGCCTCAGACTCGTCAGTGAGACGTGGTTCTACAGGGGTGCGGCGGGTCAAACAGGGGCTTCACGGGGAAGAAGTGTTCTTCTACAAGGGCCCGGACCAGCCGTTCACGCCACGTCGCCTCTCACGTTTGCAACGAGACACCGCCTGTCCGGCCCTAGCTCGTGCCGTGCTCAATTTCCAGGCCGCGGAGCCCATTGCATACCACTGCGTGCAGCTCCCAGCGCTGTGTTTTAGATGCCGCAGGAAGTTCATCCCTGCCATCGCTACCGAGGTGTTGTCCATGCTTCTACGGCACGGGATGAACCAGCGCCACGGCTGTACCACGTAGTTTAAGGATTCCTGCTATCACGATTGCCTATGTACATGCTGGTGTGTTGTGGCCGCAGCAGTCATGCACTCACGGTTCCAGGTACTTTGGCGACGGCTTTCCAAAGCTGCGCCTGAGCGCACTTCAGTTCGACTGTCTGCTAGAGGCGCGGTGCATGGCACGGTCATCAGAGTAAGAACCACCATTGGCGATTTGCTTAATCAAACAAAGACAAATATTAGGCACATGTATTTGCATGTACATATATATATAGGTATATTTGCGTATATACATATACATATATATATATATAGATAGATATACATACACCTGTGTATATATATATACATATACATACGTACATACATACATACATACATACATACATACATACATACATAGATACACATGTGTATATATATATATGCATATATACATACATACATACATACATACATACATACATACATACATACATACATACATACATACATACATACAGAGATCCAGCTCTCTCTCTATTTATATATATATATAGATATGTATGTATATATATATATATGTCTGTATACATACATATATATATATATGGTAAGAGAGAGAGAGCGAAAGATCGATTCGCTGCTCCTCCGTATGCCCTCTGGTTCGAGCTGAACTGAACTTAGACTGAGATTTGCATCATGCTTTAGGGTTTGGGGGTTTGGCTCGTGCGTTAGCCCAAGACTGAAAAGGCCTCTAAACACGCGCAGCAAAACCCGCTAACCTTCTTCTTACAACGAAGCTCAACAACAAGGTGAAACTCACACTATGTACCCACCAGCAGGTCTGAGCGGCCGATGGCTGTGTCAGATAGCCTCAGAGCCCCAAGTTGCATCACATAGAAAGGCCCTCCGTCGGACCGGCCAGAGAGAAGCCCTAAACTTAAACTTCAACTGTAGACCGTAAACCCTGAGCCCCAAGCTACAGACCATAAGCCCTAAACCGGACCTCAAACATGAGACCCTAAACCCTAAACTTGGCCCCAAACCACACCTGAAGATGTAGCTCTAAGCCCTATAAAAGCCTAAACCCTAAGTCCAGAAAGAGTCCTCTCCACATCTCGATGACCTCGTCCGTGGCGTCGCCAAGCTGGGACGAGGTCCAGGGGACGCTGCTTGCAGGAGCCATGTGGGAGTTTCCTATTAAGGGTTCCTCATGGTTCCTATCTTCTTCGTAGCTGGTCCCCACACAGGATTACTATAACGGTTCCTGTACAAGTTCCCGCGCGCAAGCTACTGTTCCTATGGGTTCCTTTACGGGAGTTTTTGTCTTCCTATGGGATTTCTTGGTAGCTAGGAGGGGTCCGGCGTGGGGGCTTCATGATAGGGAAGTTAGCTATACGCGCTGTATTCATGTTGAGATCTCTTGTTTTCTGAAGCTCTCATGTTGCTTCCGGTATCCCTTTTGCGCAAGACTGCACCGTGGAGGGTGGAACGCTAGGAAACAGCAACGCATCATGATCTACAGCCAAACCCTCTGTCTAGGGCCACGCATGTAGAGTTCGCAGCTCCGCACCATCCCGCGCCTGCGCGGAGGTTCTACAATCGTCCGAAACCCTAAGCTCCAATTCCAAAAACCACCAAGTAACCCACGTCCCCAGGCCTAAGCACCAAACCAAACCCAAAAGCCCGAAACCAACCGTTCTCCTAAACCTCAAAATCGCATCCCTCAGCCCTGGACCCTTAGACCCCAAACCCGAAACATGAGCCTTCTAAGATTCTAGGAGACATTCTAGACCCTGAACCCTAAGCCCTAAACCCCAAACCCTAAACCCTAAACCCTAAGCTCTGATCCCTTTAAGGAACCCTAGAAACCCCAGCCCTCAGCTGCCGCCGCCACGGGAGGAGCGGAGGCGCCCGTGGTTAAGCGCTACCAGGCCGCGCTGCGTCTCCGGGATGCTATGTTCACAAGAGTAGTGACAATGTATGTATTTATATGTATATATATATATATATATATGTATATTTATTTATATTTATTTAAACCATATATTTATTAATTTTATATTATTTGTGTTTTTCCCTACCATCTGTCGTGTTTCATGGTTTCAATGGGGTGCAGTGGGAGTTCTTCAGCGAGAGTTGGTTGGAAACTGTCTTGCAACGTTCTACAGGATTTTGTTCTAGGGGCTCTTGTACGGGAAATTACTTGAAGGGTCACGGGTGCTTCAACCGACCAGCTGCAATGGGTTTCGGGTTTGGGGCCGTTTAGGGTTTAGGGTTGAGGGTACACATGACTTCACTTCGTAGCCAGCATGAGCCTTCATCAGGGTTTGACCTCGTCAGAATAGCGAGTCCAGTCCTGTTGTGTTCTGAGAGGTAATGTAGGAGCCTTAATAATTCCCAATCCTATCTTGGGGGGGCTCCTTATTAAAAATATAGTATAATGGGCCCCAAAACCCTCTTCGAACCCGAACTTCCAACCCCTGAAAGATGGCCGCAATAGGGCCGACTTTTGCAAGGTCCCATGCAGGACTTAGGGTTTAGGGCAGAAGAGGGGCAATACGGTTGATGATTTGCATCCTGCGTTACACATAACAAGGAATATACAATAGTTTCCATAGTTTAGGGTCCTTAAGGTCATGCAGGATTTATATCATCAACACTAGCGTGTCTTCCTTTGCTGGCATGGCGAATGTACCTGTATCGCTGAACTCCCCGGTGTGATGCACGTGGAGGGGCCCCCAAACCCTAAACCCTAAACTGTGTTGGGGACTCGTTCCAAAAACTTCAGATGCATCAGAACGGAGCATAGTTCCGAAACTCGAACCAGAAGGACCCTGGGTGACCAAGAGTAGTGCATAATATCGCTGCCGTAAATTAGCGTTTTGGCATATATTATACTATAATTAGAAGAAGG